AGTAACTGCAGAAGTCTTATCGTGTAGTAGTGTGTTAAAAATTTAGTTTCATCATGTGTTATGAGAACGAAACGCAGCCTATAGAAGCTTTCAACGTAATCCCTGCGAGATTAAAATGTGAAGTACGATGGAGTTGTTTCACATGAGTATGAAGATGCTTGTTATAATCATCTCGCTTCGTCAACAAGGCCAAGTAAGAATTATCTTCAAGTGTATGCGACAGTCCGTGATGGGGGCTAACATACTGCATTATGAGATCAAGGTAAAGTTTTTGAATTTCGAGATTTCAAAGCGATTTAAAGTCCAAATATCAAAAGGTTCGATGTTCAAAAATTCAATGGTCCGTAAAACCATAATGGCATAAGGTCATGTCTGTCACGGTGTGTGGACCAGGGTGGGAGAATTCGCTTTTCTCGCTCTAAACTTTAACACTTATTTTCAATCGTGTTTCACAAACAATAACTATCCATCAATGCTTTAGTTTTCACATAGAGGATATCGTAGTTGTGGTATTAAAATTCGCCAGTTTTCGCAAATCTTTTTTTCTATTAGCACTCATCACATGTCATTAAAAGGAGTGACTTTCAAACTCTATCAAGGACGGGCGGTTCTAATACTTTTTTATGTTTAAATAAGTCTAGAAATCTATTGGATTGAGTAATACAAATGTTTAATACCTGAGACAAAGATTTCGCAAGAATCGACGGCTTGCAACATCGCTAGTATGGTATCTTCGAGAAATGAACTTTTCGAAATATTTTCCAATTATTAGTCCAATGACATGGTGGAAAATCGAGTGCTCAGTCATAGGCTTTGGAGATACAAGAAGATCATTCTTTTAACCTTGGTTTTAGTAACATTTTGCTTGGCATGTTTCCAATTAGAAACAACATGTTTGTACTCCATCTGTACTACCTCTGAAACGAAGTTAGTAATCAAACGGTCGGTTGAAGAAGAGGAACACAAGAGATTAGTTTGCAAAAATAATGCCGAACAGAGAAAACTCGATCGGTCGAACACTCGAACGAAGTAGTCGTATGTTTAAATCTATGTTTGAAATCTTTTCAATATAATTAATTTTGTGTGGTGTCGTGTAACAATAAAGTATATGAGTTCAGTTTAAATATAAATGTCAAAGAAGACTTTTAGAGTATTCAAACTTGTTATATTAGGCAAGCAAGAATATTGGCACTCAAGTTTCTTCTATAATTTAAAAGTTTTTCACAGTAATCTTATTAGCAGTTCTCTCATAATAGAAACCTTCCCTAGAAATTTTGAATGCTTTAATAGTTCAGAAATTCTCAAACTTTTATTATGACTGGAAATTACAACTTATTTGTATAATATCGCTCTTCCTAGTGTTTAGTATTATTGATTGATAAATAAAGAGTCTAACTAACAAAGAACAGGTGTAAGACAATATACCTAGCAAAAAAACAGAATATATTGAAGTTTTCCATGAGGCCACACCATGCATCGAAGTGTAATAAAGCCATGCTGCTGTAGTCTCTATTTCGTATTATACTGTAGTCGTCACTATATGGAAAGTCCCAAGTTTTTCCAAAACAATTGAATATATGAGTTGGGTTCTTACTAAAAACTAAGTTCATCGATTCCAAGACCATCTTATCATAGTCTATCTATATTGAACTTTTCAAATACGATCTTCTATAAATATCAATTTGAATAGCCATTGCCATTTTGTAGAAGTCTGGTATTAGACCCATCCAACAATAAATATAGAAAAAAGAAAAAAATAAGAAAAAAACTATTATAACATTTTGAGAGTCACTACCATTTTATAGCTATGAATGACTGACCTCTTCATCAGATGGGTGTGGATGTGGGTGTAGATGTCAGTGCTGTTATGGGCACGGGTCTCCTATGTACGTGAAGAACTCCTCTGGCACTCACACCCACCACAGCCTCAGTCAGCCTCTCATCCATTCACACTCGTTGCCATAAGCACTATCAATTGCACTCCGTGCAGTTAGTTGACCAAAAATGAAACGCCGCCAGATGTTATAGTTTGGATTTTCTTGAAACTTCTTTTATAATTTGCAGGTATTCATCACTTACTTCTATCAGCAGTTTTAAGAAATCTAGCTTTTCATCTAGTGGAAAGATATAATTTCTGAAAATTTCAACAAGCTATTTTTTATTTGCATAATCGGCAGATAACACTATAGGATCGCTAGAGGTCTCCAATAGTCGTCAACGAATTATTTCAATACATTGATCTGGCAGCTAGTATTTTTATATCATTCTAATAAGACATGGAAGCGAAGTGCCAAAGTTTGAACATATATTCAGTAATTTTGTTGTAGACAACAATAATAATCAACAGTTTCAACCGTACTCATTTTCGTGAGATAGATTTTTTTTCGCTGTTCTCGATTGGTCAACTGAAAATTGCGCAATTTCTATGTAAGTCTCAAAAACAAGTGGGTATAAATATAGCGGATATGAATATGATCAACATTTCTCTTACGAAAATAAGTACATCAAGCAATTGTTTGCGCAATTTCGTCATCAACTCAATACAGAACAATATCTCTTTAGCGACATCAATGATAGCAACGAATAAAGATGCTCATTTATCAAAATGTTTTGAAAAGGAACAGCAAAATGCTGCTTGGAAACATGATGTCAGTCGCCGTATAGCTAATGTCTATGAAAAATTGAAGAAGCGAGGTGTTCATTCACCTACTTTTATTAGCGCAGCTGGTTTGACATATACCGGTGTTGCTGATACTGCTCGTTGTCATACATGTGGTTTGGAAGTATCTGAATGGACAGCAGACATGGAGCCATTCACTATTCATATTCGACGGAGTCCTGATTGTTCATTTGTTAAATCAGTTGTATCAAAGAATCGAATGAGTTTTTCTTCTTCAAGTAATTTAACAACTAACCAACAAAACTATGAATTACGACATTATGACGAAAGTCCACCAAAACGTCAAAAGATCAATAGGCAAATGATCAGTTTATTTCTAGAAGTCGAGATTATGAAAGAAGTTCGTTGTCGAACATTTTCACATTGGATTCAACATATGATACCATCTCGAACACAAATGATTTCGGCTGGATTCTTTTCTTGCAATGTTGATGATCGTGTCATTTGTTTATATTGCAATCTAATTTGTCAACAATGGATACCAGATAGTGATGATCCACAGGAAGTACATGAAACTCTCTCACCTCAATGTCCATATGTTTTATTCATTTTAAAACCACGTAAAACATTGGCTGCTTCAATTCTCAACGAAAATCCGAATAATCCAGTAGCAACAACTGATCTATCACGATTCCGTGAAATAGTACACAAGTCAGCATATCACAGTGACTATATGGAAATTCTGAAACGCCAAGCATCATTTCATTCGTGGCCTCAAGAACAAATACCTCCTGTAGATGATCTCGTACAAGCTGGATTTTTTTATACTGGCTTAAGAACCATTGTCACCTGTTTTTATTGTAATGGATCACTGCAAAATTGGAGCCCGAAAGACAATCCACTAGTTGAACATGTACGTTGGTTTCCATTTTGCGCCTATGCAAAACAACTGTGTGGTGATGAACTTTATCGGAAAATTCAAGACTTAAAACAAACTACTCAAGGTTAGGTTTTTTTCTGGCCAACAAATGATTTAAGCTATAAAGAAAACGTGTTGATCTCTCTTCTAGAATGCAGTGCAGAAAATCAGCCAGAAAGAAATGGAAATTTTTCCAACGATGCTCGAACGAATAATTCTCGGCTAATGATTACTGACGAGAACACGTTGTCGCAATTTGTTGCTGCTCGACTTGATTTGCCTATTTCACAGCATTTACTCAATCGAAATTTCAAATTATCAATTATCAAACGTTGCTGGCAAGATCAGCTAAGATTAAAACGTTCGTAAATTGCAACAATTTACAGTTACATTCTTCTTTTTCTTTTGTTTAGAAAATGACTTTACTACTGATTGTGATTTATGGATTGCTTGTGTGATTCTTCAAAAGCAAATCGAGCACATTAATGGAAAGAAAGAAAACATTCTAGTGCCCAGTATCGCAATGAAAAGTATTCGTGAGAAACAGCAAAATGGTATGTTGTTGTTGTTGTTGTTTATTTATTTGACTGTCTTTTGACTCGTTCATAAACATATAGGTTCATCATCGTCCGTGTCAACATCGAACGAATTATTGTCATCGAATCAGTCAAATACAAACGAAATAGCCGAGTCAAAATCAGCAACTACAACCACCGATAATCGATCGGAAAGAGAAGCAAGTACTAGCTCTATAAAGCAATTTTCATCGTCGAATGTATGCGTACGCTGTTGGACAGAAGAGAAACGTCTCGCATGTATTCCATGTGGACATTTGGCAACTTGTGTTCCATGTGGTCATTCACTTCGAACATGTCCGATTTGTCGAAGGGAAATCGAAGCTTTCGTGCGGATTTATGCTTGAAGTGGGTATTCGACTACACATAATACGAATGTTACGAATAATGATTTTATTTTGCATTAATGATACTAGAACTCTTGTATTAATATCTCATTTGTATTTTGAATAAAGTCAACAAATGAATCATTTCAACAGTGAGTTTCATAGTTATCGAAAGAGGTTCGGCTAGAGCAAATGATACAGTATATGAATCTGAAGCATGCTTGCTAATTTGATTCGGATTATGTTTGAACGAGTCGAAGTAAAGAAAAAAACCTAAGAACATCAGGTACAACAGATGCAGAGAGCGAAAAAATAATTTTTTAGATCTGCAATTACAAGCAAGTGGTGGCACAACTAGAAAACTATGTGAGAGTATTAGTGTGAATTTTTTCCTTATTCACACTCGCATCCTAGCTATGCTCCATCAATGCTATTTTCAAAACAACGGAAGAAGAGGTTGAAGTGCTGCACATTCAGTCCCATTTAATTCAGATAGATGGACTTGCGTTGACTGAGACGGGCACGCTGAAGAAGCGAATGACGGTGAGCCTTCCCTATTAAAGAATAATATCACTGTGATATTTCGTCAAATCGATTCGTTATGATGAGAGAAGAACAGCGCCATTTTATGTCTTGTTGACAAAAGTCGCCTAACATTAAAACCTAGAAACCTTCAAAGAACCAACGAAGTTTTGTTTTTTTTGGTGAATTCTTCATAACTTTCTTCGATACTGCATCGTAATTGTCGCCCAATTCGAGTCTTTAACCTGCCATGTGACAGACAATCGTTGTATCAAAACTTATCTACTAGTCTTTATGATTAGTATATATATGTTTCTCGACTTTATTTGATTAGGATAAATGAAGAACGTGATACTTTCTTTCTTCATTGTAATATTGTACCACTAACAACGACCATTCAAAGAGGAAATGAACAACATCGATTTGATACTGTGCTAAGGTTCATTGACATTTGGTTTCTCATTGAACAATTATTTCAATGCTCAATTTCACGAGCCATATTAACCATGATGCGACCGGACCTTTCACACTATCAATCTATTGTACTTAGGGTGTGGGTGTGAGATGTGTGGGTGTGGGTGTGGGTGTTCCTTTTGTCTTTAATCACATACACCCACACCCTTAATGCTAATGGAACTACACTTTATTTTATTCCTTTATATTATATAATCGTATCGTTTACATACAAAGCATATGTCTATATACGTAAGTAGAATAACAGAGGATGAAAAGAAAAACGATGAGGCCATGCAGAGAAAAGATATGGAAGATCAATAGGATAAGGACGGCAACGCAAGAATAAAAAGGTGAGAACAATATATATATTATATACGAGTGAATGATGATACACCATGAGAAGCACATTGTGACAGAAAGAGAATGAGGCTGAACCATGGATAGATAAGCGTAAGAGTAACGCAATTATGCAAACTACGTAACATCGATTGTATAGCAACATATAAAGAAAGGAAAGCTATCACATTAGGTGCTATGTTTATTGGCACAGCTAGTAAGATTTTTGAAGTTTACAATTTTCTAACTACAGATGCTAAACAACCGACATTTCGACAATCTTGCTGTCGTCGTTTTAGATCTCTTTGAAAATGAAAATAAACATTGTCATTTGACTGCATACCGTGAATTATCTCAATCAAGACTTGTTTTCAGGTGACACATTATAAACCTACCAAAATCAAGAGCCTGTGGAAAACCTCTGTAACTTTCGAATTCAACAAGGTAAAGAGATTAGCCTTCTGTAGATTGAAAGGGAACACTTCCCCTATCGAATAGTCATACTGTAAGTGAAAAACCAATGAGAAATATTTTCGGAATATTGGTTTCAAAAATATTTACCAACTACTCACTGAATTGACCGTTTGCTGATCTCTATCAAATTTGACATGATTTTGTAGCCAAATTTTTCTTCTTTAAATTAGTAAAAATTGCAAATATCCGTCTTGTTTCTATCAAACGTTATTTGAAAAATATCGACCTGACTTACAATTTGGTATCTATAATAGTTTCTGTTCATCCTTATTTTTCACTTTTTTTTTAAATAGTTTTAATTAAATATGTAAACGAATAACGAATGTAATTACTTCATTATTAACTTGTTTATATCTGGATCCGCTTCAATTCGAAGCGATTATGTATCCTCGAAAACACCCCTCCCTCACTTTGACTTCTTCACGTCGTCACTGAGTTTTCTTTCTGGTATTGCTTTGATTATGAATGAGTGACAAAAAACAAGTCACATACAATTCGAAACAGGAAAAAAATTTTCTATTAGTTGATTAAAAAAAGTAATCGTTTCAACACTTCTTTATACAAGAGATAGGATGAGTCGACACTTTGTGTTGTTATTTAGAATTTCATGAACAAGGCAGAATTATTTTGTGAATATCTCGTTTCTTATGTCATTTTGTTTATGAGTATATGGCAAAAAATATGTCATACGTTGTTCGAAGGAGAAAAAAAAATTTCTTTCAAACATATATTTCTAGAGCAAAAAAAGAACGGATTGATACATTATGTTATGACATTCACATTGTATATTACGCTTCAGGATTTTCTTTTTATTTACACATTAAGCATATGATTTTTATTATTCGCATAAAAGTACTTCAATGAAAATTTTTACTGTCTACTTAAAAACAAATTTATTCGAATATGTTCTTGAGAAAAAAAAGACAGAATGACATTAAATATTTACCGTTGAACCGTGATTAAAAGTCAGAATACGACAAAAAATAGACTATTATTAAAGTTGTACTTGAGAAAAATTTCTTTACAAAAAGAAAGTGAGATGAAATTTATTTGCATTAACATACACCCTTTTATATAATCATTAACAGTATATTGATTCCACTTATGAGGTTGTTTATAATGTTCTTAACTATGTGTTTTTTTTACTTATAAATATTTTGTATGAATAAGAATAAAGTGAAGGAAAGTAAAAATTCTGATTTCGCATTCTCAACGTATTTTGATCGTGCTCTAGTTCTTTTTTTTTCTGCAAATAATATTTTCTATTCGTTATTTATTCGTATGAAAGAAAAAAAAGAATTATGTTCGATTAATATCTTTATTTTGTTGTCGTTAGTTACGTTGCCAAAAAATATATTTGCAAACGAATAAAGAAAAACAACTCTATTTAAAGGAGTATTATATTTATTTAGGAGACATTCAATATAATGTCAACAGTGAACGTACTTCTTGTTGCTCTTTTTTCATTAATCACTATCATCAATGGACAATTAAGTAAAAACAAATTTAATTTTTACAATTCATTTATTTTATTTGTGATTTATTAAGATTGTTCAACATATAATCCATGTGGTCGATATGGATATTGTCGTGATAATTCGGATGGTGAATGGACTTGTAAATGTAAATTTTGGTGGAATGGAACATTATGTGATGAACAAACAAATAGTGGAAAACAAGTTATTGCACTTGGTTGTATATTAGGTTTTCTTATGGCAGTTTTTCATGGTTTACAAATTACGCGATGTATTCGAAATAAAAGACGAAAATCAAAAGAAGATAAGAAAAAGTAAGCACTTATTTTCCTTTTTTTTTCTTCGTTTTATTAATTGATAAATTTAGAGAAATTTCACAAATACCAACTCTAGTTGATCTTGCATTAGAAAATGCCAAAAAATCAACCCGTCTATCTTCATGTTTAGTTGCTTGTTTAACAATAATTATTGCTGCTGTAGCACTTGTTTCAAAATGGTCATTAATTCAACCAATACATAATGAAGTAGCTACTAAATATCTGACTAATCAACCGATTTATTATGTACCAAATTCTTTTTGTAATACAATGTCTCTTCAACAATTTAATATTATAACATTTCCTGTTGCTTGTTTTTTAATTCTTATGCTTATAATAACAACCGAACGAACATCATTATTGCCTAATCTATGTTATGGATATGGAGGACCACCAATGCCTGTTGATTTCCTTTCCCATGTTGATCGAACATTTGCTGCTTTCATTTTTGCTGTATGCGCAGATGAATTATTATTAATAATGCTGTCAGTAATTGATGGTACTGCAAAAAAAGGTGAAGGTGTTATTATTACTTATCTTCTACGTGTTCTTGAAGTATTTATCATGGGTGTTCGTTATTATGCTCTCTTAGCAGCTGTTTATTTAAATACAATTTTTATATTAGCATGTGCAACAATATATGCTTGGCTTGACTATGCAATAACGATAATTAATCAAGGCATGTGTGACTCAGATTTTTATCCAACATATAATGATTATCTAGATAATTCAACTAGTATTGAAGAAATGTTTGTTTATTATGGTACTGGTCCTAATTTAATTGCTATACAATTATGCATAGATATACCAAGATTTTTATGTTTAGCTTATGTGAATATTAAAATACCAATGTTATTAATAAGAAAAATTTATCTTCAATGCAAAAAAAATTTACCATTAGAACAAAAAATGTTAATGAAATTAACACGAGAACAAAGAATATTTTTTCGTATATCAGAACCAGATTCAGTTGAAATGCTCTATGTTAAAAATTTATTTCGTTCAGCTAAAAATCGTCCAAAAAGTCAAACATTATTTGCACGTATAATACCAACAAAAATTTATGAATGGAGAGATGATTATCGTTTTTCAACACGAATTCTTTGTCTTTATTCATCAATTTTTCTTCTTTTATATTTTGTTACTATTCAAGCATGTGTACAAGCTCTACCTTTATTATCAAGTCTTCAACAAGTTCTTCAAGATGCAGTTGAAAAAATTTCAACGATATTTATTTCTGAATCCAAAGATTATGATGGTGAAAATGTTAGTCCTAATACATCTAATTTTCCACTTCCATCATTAATCAGACCTTATTTATTTGCTATATTTATAACATTAATTCTAATAGTTATACAATTATTAGTATTACTTGCTAATATACGTAGAAATTCATTTCAATCATTTCGTGGTGAAGATAGTGAAATACCACGACGAGAACGATCAAAATATGTTTCATATGCAGCAGGAAATTTTCATTTTGCTGGATATTTTATTGGCTATTTAATATGGGGTTATATGATTATAGCAGTATTTTCATTACTATTCTGTATTAGTATTGATGCATTTATTACATATGGAAGTGTTCGATTTCTTGAATCGATTTTAAAATTTATTATACCAAGTATTTTATT